CCGAACTGGGCAATGGCCCAGCTTAAGTAGTGCTGGGCCAGGACTGAAAACCCACGGCCTGCGTTCTGGACCGTGCAGATCGAAACTCCGATCCACGGTCCAGATCGCAGGCTTCGAAAACTGGTTCAGTCCTTGGCCTTAAACGGCCTGCCTGGGTCCCTACCGGACGTCCAAGCCCTGTCCAGGATTAATCTTCCTGGTACCTGGCTTCAAACCGGTCCTGTGCGGACGTACCCGGCCTCAACGTCGGTTCGAAAACAAAAGAAAAGGTCCAAACGTTTTTAGGAGCTCAGCCTCTGGGCCTGAATCTGGCCCTGGCCCTAGAAGCGTGTACCTGGCCACAAAACGGACAACAGTACACCCGTTAGAAAAACAATAGCAAATAAATAAAATAAAGACTATAAAAATAATCTAAAGCTGGCGTTTTTCTGATGCAGGCCCAAGTAAAAATGCCATAGGGCCTTCAGGTTGCGGTGACGTGACCTGGGGGCCCTATTCCAACCTCGGGTCCCGTGAGGGGCCCGTGTGTAGGCTTTCAGCATGTAACACAACCCGTAGATTTGAACCTGCGACCTGTAGGACCGCCAGTGGTAGGTAGGATTTCGTAGGTTACAGGGTAGAAGAGATTCGAACTGTAGACCTGTCGGATAGGAGTCTAGACAGTCTAGAGGTCGTAGCTGTAGACTGTCCGAAGGGTCAAGGTCGTAGCTGCTACTTACCTGAAAGGGCAAAGTCGTAGCTGCTACAGTACCGAAAGGCCAAAACAGGAGTTCTAGAAGTGGCCTTTCGGAGTCAGCCTACGTTAGGCAGAGGCAAGTGGTCAACTGGTGGCAGTTCACCTCGTACAGTCAGCAGTCCCAGTCCACCCAGTCCGGTCCAGTCAAGCAAGTACCGTCTGGGACTGTGCACACCGTGCGCCAAGGGATAGAGGGCAGACCAACGCATCACAGAAGTATAAATCAAGAGGCTGCGCCCAGCCATTAATTCATTCATGCGGAAGCCATGCGGGAGCGCTGCTTCAGCGTCTTGTGCAAGGAGGTCTGCAGGAAGCCCGAAGACGAAGTGGGCAAGAGTGAAGCAGTGTAGCCATAGTGATAGGTAGCGACAGCCATAGCTGCCATAGCTTAGTATAGAGTGCAGTGTGTGTGTACTGTGTGAGTGTTCGGAGTGATGTGCGTGGGACATCCAGGGTGATCCAGAATGTGAACAGTGAGTTGTTTGGGCGCACAGCCACCATAGCCAATTGAAAGAGAACTCTTATCTGGTTGCGATATCTCTGAGTACCGTGTGGGCGCATGGCGCCAGTTTGCTGTATCGCTGTTCACGTGCATAAAAAGTGTGAATAAGTTGAGTCTGATTGCACTGGTATCGGAGCTGGTACCCGCTGTTCCACGCGCCGTCGTGTGCAGGGCCGATGCGCCATAGCTGAAGTGGCGACCGAAGGAAGCAGTCCGCCATAGCGGACCTTGGGTTGAAGAAGCCGCCGCGCACCTGCATCAAGAAGACCACGACAAAGAAGAAGACTGAGGGAGAGAGAGAGATGAGTGATACAAGATTGGGTTACTACCTGCTGCGCTGAAGATACCGCAACGGCGAGAGAGAGAGAGAGAGAGAGAGAGAGAGAGAGAGAGAGAGAGAGAGAGAGAGAGATGAGCGATCCAAGATTGGCTGTTACTCACCTGTGAAGCGAGTTGCGCAGTCCGGTGGAGAAGGAAGGTAGCGGCCATAGCCGCGGAGTATCATCACAGGGTATCGAAGGAGAGAGACAGGGAGGACAGAGAAGGAGGGACCGAAGGAGAGAGAAGAAGAAGTGTGGAAGGAGGACACCCGAGAAGAAGACAGACATAGCCGGGGGTGAACAAAAAAAAAAAAAAAAAAAAAATACGGAGAAAGTGAAGAAGAAGAAGAGTGAAGGAAGGGGAAGCAAGCGGCGAGGGTGACGAAGGTGAAGGTGCCGGCAGCCATAGCTGAGGTGAAGGGTTGACCAGGCGTTGACCAAGGGTGTTGACCAAGCATTGACTGGGGGTTGTCCACGTTGAACAAGGCGTTGACCGGAGCTGCTGACCAAGATTTTGACCAAGCTGGAGTTGGTGATATCTCGCTGAGCCCTTAGCCTATCCCCTTACCCTGTGGATGTGCACCTACCCCACGGTACTTGCTGAGTCTGTCTGTCTACTCTTTCTGCATTGAGTCTCTTCTGTCCTAGGTGTTAGGACTCTGTGGATGAAGAATAGGGCCTTGCTGCCAAACCTGCACGGGACTTAGTAGGACTAATCTCTACTCTGGCATCTGGAGACCTGGGCATGAGCGGCGAGCGCTCGTTAAACAACTCGTCTAGCCCAATGATCGGTACTATCCTGCAGGTCTACTCAGTTTCAGTGTAGAGGGTCCGAACTCCGAGCTGTAGGCTGAAACGAAGGTCGTCTTTAAGTGTTGAGGCCTGGTTGAACCACTCCCCTACCGGACCTAGTAAGGCTGATGATCTGTGTCTGACGACTCGACTGTCCCGAGGGATACGAACCCCTCCAAGGGCAGGTACAGACCGGCGGGCTGCTCGGTGTGGCACAATAGGCCGGAACCGCTGAGTTGTGGGCTGAAATCGCCAGGAAGAACCACGCTGATCACGTCGTCCTGACTGCGACGTTAAATAATTCTTGCGGAGTTTGGGGGATCTCCTTAAATGCCTCCAGATCAGCTCTTGGTTCAGTAGTGACAGCCTTAAGAGTAGTTTAGAGTCAGTGACCATAGTGGACAGGGTCTTACCCTGTGGTCCTTAGAAGAGTCGGTCAGTGGGCCAGTGTCTGGGTAGGTCTACGTGGTGAGGAGTGGGACTTTTGTCGTGCACTTGACACCACGACGGATGACTATCCGATGTATGGGTTGCCCGTTGGGTTCTCCCTTTGGGAGACCCTATGGCGTCTCCTCTTTCCTTTGGGCTTTTGGCCCACCTTCACGTGTAGAGTAGGGACTCGGGGTGGTACTTCCACCCAACCTTACACGAAGGAGGAGGAGGAGAAGATGGCCGCCATCCTGAGGGAAAGAAAGGAGAAGAAAGAGGCCAAGAAGAAGGCCCCACAGGAGGAGCAGGCGGCCAAATTAAAAAAGATGGCCTGGGAGAAAGAGAGACTGAAGAAAGAAGAAGAGAAGTTGAAGGAGGTGGAAGAGGAAGAGGAGGAAGATGAAATGCCACTGCAGAAGAAGAGAGTGCAGTACAGTGGCAGCAGAGACGATGAGATGGAGAAACGGATTTCAGAGTGGGTCGCCAACTTATCCTTAGGCGAAGAAGAAGAGGTGGCAATGTATATCTCTAAGGACGACCAGGAAGCCGCCATGAGAGTATGGGAAGCAGAAGCAGATGTTATAGATGAGAAGAGGATGGAGTGGAAGTTGGCGGTGATAAGGGAGAAGAAGAGGAGAGTAGACGCGGAAGCGGAGGCGGCAGAAGAATTAGAAGAGGTACAAAAGATAGAAGAGCAATTAGCCGCCCAGACTGAACTCCCAAAGAAAATGGAGGTCATAGCCAAAAACGTTGCACGCTTAGCACGAATCCAGGCCGAGCAGTATGACTTTAGTAGGAGTCAACATATAGCGGTACGTTCGATACGGTTGGGATTCTGGGACTTTGCTCGCGAGTTGGTGGGTGCTGTAGGAGCCGAGGTGGGTCACCGCCTCGACAAGACTGAGCGGTTTTGCGCTGGCGCCATTAAAGGCGTCAAGGCGGCAGCTCCCAAGGAGGAGGAAGCACGTCCTCCTCGCCGGGAGCCGATCAAGGTCAAATTCCCTGATTCCTATAGTGGAAAACGGGAAGAGAACTTTGACAATTGGGAGGCCAATGTCAAGACCTATGTGCATCTGCAACAGGTCTCCCCGGATCAGCACGTTCTGATTGCGATCCATGCGCTTAGAGATGAGGCCGCCAGCTTTGCGAGGTCCTTAGTCTGTGTCGCCAACTGCAATGATGATGCAGTACTCCTCATTCACTCCTCTCGTCGACTTCCTGAAGTTGCTACGCGAGCGATTTGCTGATGTCGCTCGCAGTGTCAAAGCCTCAGACAAGCTCCAGACGATCCATGCTCGTAAGTGGAAGAGTGTCAGGGCACTCAAGAGCACAATGGACAAATAAGTAGCTGTCCCTGACCACGGGATTACAGACACCCAGTTGGTTGCCCTCTTCTGTAGAGCGATGCCTGAAGCTTTTCGCGGGCACTTCTCCGCGAAGAGCGAAGACCCTGCCACCACTTACGATTCCCTTAGTCGTGAAGTGGTGGCCTTTGAGGCAAAATCTGTGTCAGTCTCCACCTTCTGGCACAAAGATTTGGATAAGGGAAAGCAATGGAAGGGTCGCACTATCTCTGGGCAAGTGAAGACTAAGGATAGTCTTGTCCTAACTTTAGACGAGGGTAGTGTGGATCAAATCCCCTATGATCAGATTGAGTGGGGGTTAGAGGAGGAGGACAGCGGTGTGGGCCAGGGGAGAACTTACGCTGCTGTCGCGGCTGGAGGGAGGCCGCAAGGAGGAGGACGAGGCCAGGGCCAAGGGGGCCGGGCCTCAGGGAGCCGATTCCAGGGCGATCAGGGGGTTGGCGGCAGAGGAGGAAACCGCCAAGCGAGAGGAAGGGGTCAAGGTTCCCCGCAAAACCGTCCTAGGAACAGGTCCTCCTATACCCCAGGGTAGGCCTTGGGAAAGTTTGGGTCTGGACTAGGACTTATGGCAAAAGCGATTGGACCGGGGCCAATGCATTTTCTGCAGTGACCCTACCATTAGGCCATGTGGGGAACATAGCGCTAGCCGGCAAGAGACACCAACACCGCATGTGCCTATGGCAGAGGTTGCAGGCCGGTGTCTAGACAGTTGTCCCGAAACTGCTTGTGTTAGAGTTTCGCTAGACACCTCCCTCACAGGCGTGGCTGATGAATTGAAGGAGAGGATGCCCGCCTGGGCCAAGATGAAGAAGGAGAACAAAGGGCAGCTTATATTACTAGATGCAGAGATTTTTAGAGGTAGAATAGGGGCCCTAGTAGACTCAGGGGCCACCCGCAGCTATATTAGTAAGAAAACGCTGCAGAAATTGAAGTTGGGACTTAAAATCCAGAAACTAACAGACCCCATAGTTAGTATCCTCGCGGACAATCGTACTATGGTTGTAGAGGATTACGTAGAGGGAATCCAGGCGTATTTCCGCCTAGAGAAAGATGGGAAAGTGGAGAAGGTTCTCCACTCCCTGACTCTCCTCGTAGAAGACAGCCTCCCATTTGATATTGTTCTTGGRATGGATTGGGGAGAGGCAGCCGGAGCCACGCTCCATTTGAAGGAGCACGAGTGTAGGCTCCCTAGTTCTTCAGGCGAGGCCAAGACTGCCCGCCTGTTCCATGTGTTAGGAATAGAGAATCCCTTGGCACATTGCTGCCTTAGTGCTCCTGCGTTCGCCAGATTAGTGAAAAAGGAGAAATTGGAGGAACATGTTTTTGTTGCCTATGTTAGGCCAATGACTGAGCCTACGGACGAAAAGTCGATGGACCCTGCGATTGCCAAGCTGCTGGAAGAGTTCAAGGACCTAACTGAGCCGCCGATAGGAGTGGTACCGCGGCCCATCCAGCACCGCATTGAGATAGAGCCTGGCAGTAGAACTCCTAAGGGCRYTGTGTATAGGATGTCCCCACGGGAGYTAGAGGAGYTTCRCAAGCAATTAGACGAGCTCCTCGAAAAGGGTTGGATTAGGCCCAGTTCGTCTCCTTTTGGAGCGCCTGTTCTCTTTGTTCCCAAGAAAGAGGGAGAGCTGAGGATGTGCATAGACTATAGGGGTCTGAATGCTATTACAGTGAAGAATGTTGAGCCACTGCCTAGGATAGACGATCTCTTAGATTGAGTGCAGGGGGCGAAGTATTTCTCCAAGATAGATTTGAAGTCCGGATATCATCAGATAGAAGTGCATCCTGATGATCAGTACAAGACAGCCTTCCGGACTAGATATGGGCACTATGAGTTCATAGTGATGCCCTTTGGACTAACCAATGCGCCAGCTACGTTCCAGCGCTGTATGAGCGATTTGTTTAGGCCATGGTTAGATAGATTTGTTATTGTCTACTTAGACGATATCTTAGTGTTTAGGAAGACCCTCCAAGAACACCAGGGTCATCTCAGACAGGTCTTGGAGAAGTTGAGGGAAGCTAACTTCAAGATCAATCCAAAGAAGTGCGATTGGGCAAAGACCCAAGTTTTATACCTAGACCACGTCTTAGACGGAGACGGCGTTAAACCAGAGGATTGTAAGATCGCAGCGATTAGAGATCGGCCCACGCCACGTACGCTGACAGAGTTGCGCTCGTTCCTGGGCTTAGCTAACTACTACAGGAAGTTCGTGAGGAACTTCTCCACCGTCACTGCACCCTTCGCAAATTGTTGAGGAAAGAGACCATCTGGAAGTGGGACAAGGACTGCACGTCTGCCATGAAGAAGTTAAAGCAGGCATTGATAGAGTACCCAGTCCTTAAGGTAGTCGATCCGTCCTTGCCCTTTGTCGTCACTACGGACGCTAGTCAGTACGGCATAGGTGTCGTGTTACAGCAAGACGATGGCAATGGTTATAGACCCGTAGAGTTCATGTCCGCCATGATGCCTTCAGAGAAGGTCGCGACATCTACCTATGAGAGGGAACTCTACGCTCTCACGCAAGCCTTAGAACACTGGAAGCACTACTTGCTTGGGAGGCACTTCAAAGTCTATTCCGATCATGAGACATTAAGATGGTTAAAGACTCAGGCCAAGATGACACCTAAGCTTACTAGGTGGGCAGCAGAGATAGATCAGTACGACTTTGAGCTCAAGCCAGTCAAGGGGAAGTATAACGTAGTTGCGGATGCTCTGAGTAGGAGAGCTGATTACTTTGGGGCAATAGTGCATTACTTAGACATAGGGAAGGACCTGCAGCAGAAGATTAGAGAAGCCTATGCACAGGACCCTATCTATAGTGACCTCCTCAAGAAGGTCAAGGAGGCCCCAGAGACTGAGCCAAACTACCGCACTACGGGAGGGTTGCTTTTTGAGAAGACTAATGTATTTGACCGCCTGTGCATTCCCAATAGTGAAGAGATCCGTAGTCTGATTTTGGGAGAATGCCACGACACAGAGGGTCATTTTGGTTGGCAGAAAACTTTAGCCAATCTGATGCGCGCATATACCTGGCCAGGAATGAAGAATGACTGCATGGAGTATGTTCGCAGTTGTAAAGTCTGCCAACGTAACAAGACTTCTACGCGTGCCCCGTTAGGTCTTCTCAGACCCTTACCCATTCCGGATCAGCCGAGAGACTCAATGTCCGTAGACTTCATGGACACTCAGGTCAAGAGCAGGCATGGCAAGAGCCAAGTCATGGTCATAGTTGACCGCTTTAGCAAGTACGCAGTTTTTGTTCCTCTGCCTTCGGAGGCACGTACTGATTTAGTCATAGAGAGGTTTTTTGACTGTTGGGTGAGTGAGAATGGAATCCCACTGTCWATAGTTAGCGATAGAGATAGTCGCTTCACCAGCCAGAACTGGCAAGAACTCATGGGAGTGTATGGATCTAAGTTGTTGATGTCGTCCGGCCTCCATCCTGAAACTAACGGTCAGACAGAGCAGATGAACAAGATCCTACAGCAAATTCTGCGCATGTACATTAGGCCAGATCAGATTAACTGGGATGAGATGCTGCCTAAAGTAGCTAGTGCGTACAATAACAGCGTGCATCTGTCCACCTGCCGCACTCCCAACGAACTGCACAAGTCCTTTAGGCCCCGTAGACAATTTGAAGGACTCAACCGGGATCAGATTCACAGATTGCCGCCCGGGACCAGGGAGTTTGTTGTGCAACACGAAAAAGAACTAGCTACTATTGTAGAAAACCTCAGGAAGGCCCAGCACAGGATGATAGAGCAAGCCAACAAACATCGTCGCCCCTCACAGTTCCAAGTAGGCGACTTAGTCTGGGTCAGTTCTAAAGAGTTTGCACCTGAGGAGAACATCTCGCAGAAGTTACTGCCCACATATAGAGGACCGTGGCCAGTCTTAGAAGTCAAGGGCGGTGAAGATGGACCGTCCTATACCATAGAACTCCCAGCACACCTCCACACCTACCCAGTTTTCCATGCGTCGAAGTTGTTACCTTGTCAAACAAGTGATCAGTTTCCATCCCGTAGATCTATGATTCCACCAGATATGGATGGAAGGTATGACATCGATGGCATAGTAGCTGAAGATGTATTCAAGACCGGAGGTAGAGGTCGTCCACAGAAACAGTACAAGGTTCATTTTAGTTATCAAGAACCGGAAAACGACCATTGGTTTACGAGATCTGAACTTCTAGAGACAGCTCCCGATATAGTCCGGGCCTACGAGAGACAACAGAGAGGTAAAGGTCCTGCCTTGGACTGAAATTTTATCGGAGGACCTCGAATTTAGGCCGGCGGGAGTGAAACGGTATTCACCAGTTCGCAGTAGCTGATGCAGATTCCAGGGCTCCATCCCTAGTTCCCCATCTTACCTGTGTACACTACCGGTGTCAACCCGTTGATTTGCACCTGCGACCTGTAGGACCGCCAGTGGTAGGTAGGATTTCGTAGGTTACAGGGTAGAAGAGATTCGAACTGTAGACCTGTCGGGTAGGAGTCTAGATAGTCTAGAGGTCATAGCTGTAGACTGTCCAAAGGGTCAAGGTCGTAGCTGCTACTTACCTGAAAGGGCAAAGTCGTAGCTGCTACAGTACCGAAAGGCCAAAACAGAGAGTTCTAGAAGTGGCCTTTCGGAGTCAGGCTACGTTAGGCAGAGGCAAGTGGTCAACTGGTGGCAGTCCACCTCGTACAGTCAGCAGTCCCAGTCCACCCAGTCCGGTCCAGTCAAGCAAGTACCGTCTGGGACTGTGCACACCGTGGGCCAAGGGATAGAGGGCAGACCAACGCATCACAGAAGTATAAATCAAGAGGCTGCGCCCAGCCATTAATTCATTCATGCGGAAGCCATGCGGGAGCGCTGCTTCAGCATCTTGTGCAAGGTCTGCAGGTAGCCCGAAGACGAAGTGGGCGAGAGTGAAGCAGTGTAGCCATAGCGATAGGTAGCGGCAGCCATAGCTGCCATAGCTTAGTATAGAGTGCAATGTGTGTACTGTGTGAGTGTTCGGAGTGATGTGCGTGGGACATCCAGGGTGATCCAGAGTGTGAACAGTGAGTTGTTTGGGCGCACAGCCGCCATAGCCAATTGAAAGAGAACTCTTATCTGGTTGCGATATCTCCGAGTACTGTGTGGGCGCATGGCGCCAGTTTGCTGTATCGTTGTTCACGTGCATAAAAAGTGTGAATAAGTTGAGTCTGATTGCAATTCAGGAAAATTCTGGTAAAATTGGGTCCGCGGCGTGGACCAGGTCGGCCGCGGACGCGGCCCCATCTGCATCCGCCATCTGAGATCGGACCCGCGGACGTGTTTCATATCTGAAAGAAGACTTCAAAAGCTCTTTTATGACTTCTATCGTCTTCTTTTAAACTCCCGATGAACCACGGAGCACATATTAAACCACCAGTATGATTATGTGCATCCTTGGGGGATCAGCCTAGCAGACAAAAGATTAGCGTCACCAGGCAAATTGCACACCGCCTGGCTCAGCAGGAATGGCTCCACGTCGGGGAGAAGAGGCTCGGATGTACTGGTGGTTTAAGCTGATGAGAACGGAGACTACAGTTCATTTTAAGCGCATACTCACAATAGGACTTTTCTACAAAGCTATGGACGTGATTACAGTCAAATTCGTGCAGGTGTGGCTGTAATTGCAGTCAGCTGCATTTCGAAAAGTGCTACTGAGAGTATCGCCTTAGCCAAAAGGTCGACAAAGGCGTCAAAATTTGTTCGTCACCAGCCCTGCTTTGTCCGGCTGCCCCAACAATTCTGTTATTCCTGGTTCTATTATCTGATTGACACCCTCTTTGGCAAAACACAGGGTAGTTTTGCGGCCAATAGCAACGCCAACTAGTAGAACCTACCATTGGTCCACAGGGTAGTTCTGCAGCCTACCAGTAGGGAGTAGGCGGTCTGCGGACTGGTCGCTAGAGTGCCATCCACTGACCTCTTTTTATTTGAGTTCAGGACTGTACTGCGCTTGCTGAGTACAGCCCAAAACCCCTGAGAAACATCTGGGGACTGGGAGGGGCGAGGGGCGGATGTATTGGGGGGTAACGGGTGATATGGGAGTGTTGGTGAAGTTATAGGGAGAATGTGGGGGAAAAAAAAAGAGGGTGGGGGGGGGGGGGTAAGGGAGGGATATTGGGGGATATGGTGCTCTTGGCTTTATCTTTTATTGGGGTGGTGCCAACGAACAGCCGACCAGTAGATGGCTACGGGTGGATCGATTGGCTGGTCGGTCACCAACCAATCAAGGCGGCAATTGTTGGCATGACTACTCTGACTCGATACAATTTCTAGAATGTTGTAGTACCAGTGTGCCATTGCGTTTCTCCCTCATGATCTATAACCCCACCACAGATAGGGTCGCCAACCCTAACAGAGACCAGCACTACCCCAGAATCCCCCCTATGCTCCCTACTGTGAACAGGTACACCCCTCCTCCCCCACAATCCTAGCTCATAGATGTGCCTACACACCTCATAGGCTCATACAAAGAAACACTCGCAATTTCAGCCTTTGGACACGGTGAGTTGCATCTATCCTCCCTGCTACGACTCTGAGAATATGTCAGTTGTGACCTCCAGTCCAGCTCACAGCTTCGGCAATTGTTATCATGCCAACAACGCACAAAGAGCAGTGTATCAGGCGTCACATGATTCCATCAAGATGCAGCACAACATCATCGTCGCTGCCAAGGAGAGGAGGAGCAGGGTGCCACGTCATCTGTTTGTGCACATGCTGAATGTCGAAGAAGACAAGTCTGATTGCAAATACAGAACAGCACTAACACACTGATTTGACAGGCAGACAGCCTGACCATGGCGGCCTCCCAACGGGCAGGTGGACTGGCATACTTAAAGGCAGATAGACACGAACCAAGGCAGGCACACACATGGACCCGTGTACGCTCTCACGCAAATGCACACACAGAGAGAGAGAAGTGCACACACACAGCCAGAGACAGGTAAATAGACGAACAGAAAGACTCAGAGAACAGGCAAAGGCAAGCAGGCAGGAAGCTGGCCAATGCAGAGAAACCGACAGACGGATGCATGGACAGGTCGCATGATATGGGCTGCGAGGGATGGGCTGGGAGTGGGAGTGGGAGTGGGATGGGGATGGGGATGGGATGGGATGGGATGGGATCGCGATTGGGATTGGGATTGGCATTGGCATTCGGGTGGGACGGGGATGGGATTGGGATGGGATGGGGATGGGATAGGGATGGGATTGGAATTGGGATTGGCATTGCGATTGGGATTGGGATTGGGATACAATGGAATCGGGTTGGGAGGGGTGGGGAGGGGAGGGCGAAGAGAAAACCTATGGGCAGGAGAGGATGTAGAGTATTGTTCAGTAAGATAGGCCGAAGAAAACAGCGACCGCTGACTGCGGATGACTCATGAGCTGGATAAAGAAAGAAGAGAGACATTAAGAAAGAAAAAACGAGGGGATGGCCTCACCTCTACCTGAGTGTGTCTGTCTGCTATACACAACACAACCTGACTGCGGATGACTCATGAGCTGGATAGAGAAAGAAGAGAGACATAAGAAAGAAAAAAACAAGGGGATGGCCTCGCCTCCGCCTGAGTGTCTGTCCGCTATACACAACACGACAAAGCATCATTGTGCCAGACTGTTTCGACGAACTTTGTGTGTGTGACTTTGTGTGTGTGTGTGTGTGTGTGTGTGTGTTTTAAGCAATCACCATAACAACTCCTTGTCCTCCCGCATGCATAGATTCCATATCTGACAATTTTAAAATGGTCATCTCACTCTAATATCTCCTAAATGGTGCAAGGACCCCATGCTAATCTTCCTTTTCTCTGTGTTGTTCCAATTAACGGGCGACACAAAGGACCCTGTGGAGCTTTGGACGCAGAGTCAGCTCCCATAAAACCAGCCCCTGCCTCTCTGGATCCCATATGTATCTGATCCTTATTCTGCTTATCAAACAGAATGCAATCAGACTCGTTCTCAAACACACTTTTCATGCATGTAAACAGCAACGCAGCATACTAGCGACATGCGCCCACTCAAAACTCAGAGATATGGCTTTCAGATACAAGTTCACTCTCAATTGGCTATGGCGACTTCAGCGCCCAAAAATCTCACTGTTCACATACACDGGATCACCCTGGATATCCCACATGCATCACTCTAACACTCGAGCACACACACACACTCACTACTAACTACAGCTATGGCAGCTATGGTTGCCTCTAACCTATCACTATGCTAACTCCTCCTCTCTTGCCCACTGCGTCCTCCGGGCTCATCTGCAGACCTCCTTGCACAAGTCGTTGTGGCAGCGCTTCCGCATGGCTCACGCAGGAATGAATGAATGGCTCCAAAGTACTACGTATACGCTTGTTTCACTTTCTCCTGCAGGTCTCTCCCTATATCCAGATAATGTACTACGGCTCCAAAGTAGTCTGATCTCCTACTTAGAGCATCCGCCACTACATTGTACTTGCCCTTCACTGGCTTGAGCTCAAAGTCGAATTGGTCGATCTCTGCGGCCCACCTAGTCAACTTAGGTGTCATCTTGGCCTGGGTCTTTAGCCATCTAAGCGTTTCATGGTCCGAATAGACTTTGAAGTGCCTCCCAAGCAGATAGTGCTTCCAATGGTCTAAAGCCTGCCTGAGAGCGTAGAGTTCTCTCTCGTACGTGGAGGTAGCGACCTTCTCACAGGGCATCCTCGCTGACATGAACTCTACGGGTCTATAGCCATTGTCGTCGTCTTGCTGCAACACGGCGCCTATCCCATACTGACTTGCGTCCGTGGTAACGACAAATGGCAAGGACGGATCCGCTACTTTGAGGACAGGATATTCTATTAACGCGCACTTTAACTTTTTTAGCGCAGACGTACAATCTTTATCCCATTTCCAGATTGTCTCTTTCTTCAACAACATGCGCAAGGGAGCGGCGATAGTGGAGAAGTTCCTCACGAACTTCCTGTAGTAGTTAGCTAGGCCTAGGAACGACCGCAACTCTGTTTCTAATCGCCGCTATCTTGCTGTCCTCTGGCTTAATGCCATCTCCGTCCAACACGTGGCCCAAGTACAAGACTTGCGTCTTGGCCCACTCGCACTTCTTCGCATTGATCTTGAAGTTAGCCTCTCTAAGCTTTTCCAAGACCTACCTCAGATGACCCTGGTTCTCCTGGAGGGTCTTACTAAAAACTAGGATATCATCTAAGTAGACTACCACAAATTTATCTAACCACGGTCCAAACAGGTCATTCATGCAACGCTGAAAAGAAGCTGGCGCGTTGGTTAGTCCAAAGGGCATCACTATAAACTCATAATGCCCATATCTAGTCCGGAACGCACTCTTGTACTGATCATCAGGATGAACCTCTATCTGATGGTATCCGGAAGTCTATCTTAGAGAAATACTTACAACCCTGCACCCGATCTAAAAGATCGTCTATCCTGGGCAGCGGCTCAGCATTCTTCACGGTGATCGCATTTAATCCCCTATAGTCTATACACATTCTCAGCTCTCCTTCCTTCTTGGGGACAAACAAAACGGGTGCTCCAAAAGGAGACGAATTGGGCCTGATCCACCCAGTAGAACACCTAAGGGTGCAGTCTACACGATGTCCCCTAGAGAGTTAGAGGAGTCCTATGCTGGATGGGTCGCGGCACTACTCCTGTCGGCGACTCAGTCAAATCTTTGAACTCCTCAAGCAGCTTGGCAATTGTTGGGTCTGTGGAGTTATCCTTCTTCTGGCCCTCAGTGACAGGTCTAACATACACCACAAAGACCTGTTCCTCTAACTGCTCCTTCCTTACTAATCGCGCGAACGCGGGAGCACTGAGACAGCAATGCGCCAAGGTGTTATYTACACCGGACGCATGGAACAGGCGAGCAGTCTTCACTTCGCCTGACGGACYAGGRGCCTACACTCATGCTCTCTCAGATGGAGTGTGGCCCCCGCTGCCTCTCCCCAATCCATTCCTAACACTACATCGAAAGGAAGGTCATCTTGTACGAGGAGAGT